GTCCGAGAGAGCCTCGAGACGGTTCCAGAGTTTTTCAAGAGGGCCCCTCGAGAGGGTTTCAGAATGGCCCGAAACATAGATTTCCCTAGTGTGTTTGACGGTTTTTCAGGTTCTCTCCTTTTTCAGTCCCAGAAGGGCCCCGGCGGCCCAAGAGGCCCCAAAGATCGTCCCAAGACGGCCCCAGAGGCGCCCCAAAGGGGCCCACAACGGTCCAAAAGGACCCCCAGACGGGCCAGACGGCCTAAGAGGCCCCAACGATCGTCCCAAGATGGCCCCAGAGGCCACCCAAAGGGGCCGAAAATTGTCCAAGAGGACTCACAGACGGCCCAAGTGGGGCCCGAGACGGCCCAAGAGGACCCCCGGACAGCCCCAAGAGAGCCCCAAGACGGCCCCAAGGACGGCCCAAAAGGGCTCCAAGACGGCCTCCGAGGTACGAGTGATGACGTTCTGATGTGGGCGAAGCCCTAAAGGGAGGGGTTCCAGGGGAGGGGCGAAGCGTGTGGAGATGGGTGTTAATGGCCGTTTTCGGGTTTTCCCTTAGGTTTTTGCATGTTTTTCGGGTTCCCCCCCAAGACGGCCCAAGAGCGCTCCAAGAGAGCCCAAGACCGCCCAAGACGGCCCAAGAGGCCCCCAAGAGGTTCCCAAGAGGCCCCCAAGGGGTGTCCTGAGAGGGCCCCAAGAGGCCGAAATCATAGATTTTCCAGTGGAACACGTATATTTGAAGCATATGCGCTTTGTCGGCTTTCACGGCGTTGAAGACGCCACAAGAGGCTCCCAAGACCGCCCCAAGACGGCCCAAGAGGCTCCCAAGAGGCCCCCAAGAGGCCCCCAAAACGGCCCAAGAGGGCCCCCAGACGGCCCAAGAGGCGCCCAAGACGGCGCAAGAGGGCCCCAAGACGGCCCCAAGAGGGGGACCACGAACCGAAAAGTCTAGCCTTTCGCCCCAAGAAGCTTCCAGGAGGCCCCCAGAGCCCCCCAAGAAGCCCCAAGAGGCTCCCAAGAGGCCTCCAAAAGGGCCCGACAAGGGCCCCAATAGGACTCCCAAGAAGGCCCAGAGACGCCAAATAGAGAGCGATCGGTAACGCAAAAAGCTCTTCACACCAAGGCTCCCAAGAGCGAACGGTGACGTAAACAAGCTGATAAGACCAGGCTCCCAGCAGAGAGCGGTGACGTAACAAGTTCCTGACACCAAGGCCCAGCCAAGGCTCAGGAACGGGCGGCAACGCAACAATCTCTGAACACCAAGGCTCCCAAGAGCGAGGGGTGACGTAACAAGCTCTCAACGCCAAGGCTCCCAGTACTAACGGTGGTGTGAGTAGTTTCGGTTTCTGTTTCTGAAGCGCTCTTTCCGTTTCCGTGCCAGGCCCAGGTTTTGCATGTTTTTGGGGTTCCCCCCCAAGACGGCCCACGCGCGCTCCAAGAGAGCCCACGACCGCCCAATACGGCCCACGAGGCCCCTGAGAGGCGCCCAAGGGGCGTCCCAAGACGGCCCCAAGAGGCCAACATCATTGTTCTTCCAAAGGAAAACATCTATTTTTAGCATCTACGGCTTTTCGCCTTTCACGGCTGACGACGGCCCTTGGGGCCCCCAATACCGCCCCCAGACGGCTCAAGAGGCTCCCAAGAGGCCCCCAACACGGGCCCAAGAGGGCCCCCAGACGGCCCAAGAGGCGCCCAAGACGGCCCTAAGAGGGGGACCACAAGCCGAACAGTCTAGCCTATCGCCCCAAGATGCTCCCGGGAGGCCCCCCCACAGCCCCCCAAGCAGCCCCAAGAGGCCCCCAAGAGGCGTCCCACGAGGCCACCAGGAGGCCAAACTCATTGATTTCCTGTAGGAAAACGTATATTTTAGCATACACGGCTTTTCGGCTTTCGCGGCGTTGACGACGGTCCAAGAGGCCGCAAGACCGCCCCAAGACGGCCCAGGAGGCTCCCGAGAGGCCCCCAAAACGGCCCAAGAGGGCGCCCAGACGGCCCAAGAGGGCTCCCAGACGGCCCCAGAAGGGGGACCACGACCCCGAAAGTCAAGCCTTTCGCCCCAAGACGCTTCCAGGAGGCCCCCACAGACCCCAAAGAAGCCCCAAGAGGCCCCCAAGAGGCCACCAGGAGGGCCCAAAAAGGGCACCAGAAGGACTCCCACGAAGGCCCAGAGACGCCAAGAGCGATCGGTAATGCAAAAAGCTCTTCACACAGAGGCTCCCAAGAGCGAACGGTGACGTAAACCAGCTGATAAGACCCAGGCTTCCAGCAGAAAGCGGTGACGTAATAAGTTCCTGACACCACGGCCCAGCCAAGGCTCAGGAACGGGCGGCAACGCAACCATCTCTGAACCCCAAGGCTCCCAAGAGCGAGGGGTGACGTAACCAGGTCTCAACGCCAAGGCTCCCGGTACGCACGGTGGTGTGAGTAATTTCGGTTTCTGTTGCTGCAGCGCTCTTTCCGTTTCTGTGCCAGGCCCAGGTGACGGAAAGAGCGAGGTATGAGCGAGTGACGTTGAGCAGGGGCGAAGCCATTTCAGGGAGGGGTCCAGGGGAGGGGCGAGGCACAGGGGCGGGGTCTAATGGTCCTATTTTTGGTTTCCCCCTAGGGTTTTTATATGTTTTTTCTGATTTTCCCTCCAGACGGCCGAAGGGCGCTCCAAGAGAGCCCAAGACCGCCCAAGACGGCCCAAGAGGCTCCCAAGAGGCCCCCAAGAGGCCCCCAAGAGGCGCCCAAGGGGCGTCCCAAGAGGGCCTCAAGAGGCCAAAATCATTGATTTTCCAAAGGCAAACGTATATTTTTAGCATCTACGGCTTTTCGCCTTTCACGGCGTTAACGACGGCCCTTGAGGCCCCCAAGACCACCCCAAAACGGCCCAAGAGGATCCCAAGAGGCCCCCAAAACGGCCCAAGAGGGCCCCCAGACGGCCCAAGAGGCGCCCAAGACGGCCCAAGAGGGCCCTAAGACGGCCCGAAGAGGGGGACCACGAACTGAAAAGTCTAGCCGTTTCGCCCCAAGACGCTCCCGGGAGGCCCCCACAGCCCCCAAAGAAGCCGCAAGATGCCCCCAAGAGGCGTACAGGAGGACAAAATCATTGATTTCCGATTTGAAAACGTGCATTTTTAGCATACACGGCTTTTCGGCTTCCACGGCGTTGAAGACGGTCCAAGAGGCCCCCAAGACCGCCCCAAGACGGCCCCAGAGGCTGCCAAGAGGCCCCCGAAACGGCCCAAGAGGGCGCCAGGACGGCCCAAGAGGCGCCCAAGACGGCCCAAGAGGACGGCCCCAGAAGGGGGACCACGAACCCGAAAGTTTAGCCTTTTCGTCCCAAGACGCTCCCAGGAGGCCCCCACAGACCCCCAAGAAGCCCCAAGAGGCCCCCAAGAGGCCCCCAAAGGGGCTCAAAAAAGGCCGCAATAGGACTCCCAAGAAGGCTCAGAGAAGCCAAATAAAGAGCGATCGGTAACGCAAAATGCTCTTCACACCGAGGCTCCCAAGAGCGAACGGTGATGTAAACAAGCTGATAAGAGCCAGGCTCCCAGCAGGGAGCGATGACGTAACAAGTTCCTGACACCAAGGCCCAGCCAAGGCTCAGGAACGGGCGGCAACGCAACAATCTCTGAACACCAAGGCTCCCAAGAGCGCGGGGTGACGTAACAAGCTCTCAACGCCAAGGCTCCCAGTTCGGTCAAGTTCTTGAAGCGCTCTTTCCGCTTCCGTGCCGGCCCAGGTCTAATGGCCTTCGGCCCATCCCGCCACCGTGCCTTGGTTGTGGGTGTGAAGCCTACTGGGTGTTCGCTGGGATCTCGTGGGAGGCCTCTCGGGGGCCTCTGGGAGAAAGTTCGGAGGCCTGTTGTGGTCCGTGTGGGGGCCTCTTGGGGCATCTTTTGGGCTTGTGGGGGCCTCTTGGGCTCTCTTGGAGGCCTCTTGAGGGCCTCTTGGGACCTCCTGGGCGCCTCTTGGGACCTCTTGTGGCCTGAAGGTTCGTGAGGAGGAGGAGGAGGAGGAGGAGGAGGAGAGGAGGAGGAGAAGGAAGAGGAGACGGAGGAGGAGGTGGATGAGGTGGAGGAGGCGGAGGAGGAGGAGGAGGAGGAGGCGGAGGAGGAGGAGGTTTCGAAAAGGCTTCCCGAGACACCAAATCAGCTGTTCACATAGAGGTTGTCCCGAACTGCCCAAAAACTCGGCCCGCCTTGTCCTCGTCTTCGTCGTCGCCCTCGTCGTCCTCGTCCTCGTCCTCGTCGTCGTCGTCGTCGTCGTCGTCGTCGTCGTCGTCGTCGTCGAGGAGGAGACGGGAGGGCAAGATCATAGCGAGGGGGGGCGGCTCCCCGCTCCCCGAGGCTTCTGGCTGGCGCGGCGCTCGGGCCCGTCCTGGGGGTGCCGCCAGGCCGTCTGGCGACTTCAGAGACCGTCTTGGGGGGCCGATCTGGACCGTTTTGACGACCTCCTGGGGCTCTTCAGGGCCGTCCTGGGCCTCTCCTGGGGCTCCTTCGGGACAGTCGCATCACCGCCTAGTCATCCCCGTCTCCCCGAGGATGCCCACGAACGGGATGACAAAAAAGCGCAGTATCCGGCAAACTCCAGAGATTCCGTGGATAGGAGGCCTCTGCACCCGTCGCCCCTTCCCCTCTTCCGTGACCATTTTGATTCAAGCGCGCCTGACGTCGTTGCAGTAGAAGCGAGAAGGACTAGAGTTTTCAGCAGATGGCGCTCCTCATCTCGAAAAAGGAAAAACACATAAACATAAGATTTTAACGCTCCGAGCAGACTTCTTGGCTCCGCGCTGGGCCACCCCTGGCGGTGCCTCCGGCTCCGCCCCTGGCAAGCTCCGCGCGCCAGGGAGAGGGGGTCCAATGCAAATCCAAGAAACCCGCGCGGATCGCCAAACTTTATGTTTACGTTTTGTTTTTTCTTATTCTATCATCGTTGCCGCCTCGCTGCTGGCACTCGCGCACGCCTCGGGCCCGCAAGCGTCTTGCGCAGCAGGTCAGCAGTGCGCCGCAGGAGACCAGGATGACACCGGCATGCTCCAGAAGAGCTCGCAGATGATGCAGTTGAGTCGGCATGAGCATTTAAGCGTGAAAACGACGCCCACGAACGACGCCGAGTGCAAGGCCGTGCCTGGCATCAACACGGGCCTGCCCATCGTCTACGACTCCAGCTGCCCCGGCCTGTGCTGCTTCGAGGACCAGCCGTGCAGGTACAACAACACGGGCTGCTACTCCGCAGCCTTGGCGCAGCAGAAGGTGAGGACGACGCCCACGAACGACGCCGAGTGCAAGGCCGTGAAGGGCATCAACACGGGCCTGCCCATCGTCTACGACTCCAGCTGCCCCGGCCTGTGCTGCTTCGAGGACCAGCCGTGCAGGTACAACAACACGGGCTGCTACTCCGCAGCCTTGGCGCAGCAGAAGGTGAGGACGACGCCCACGAACGACGCCGAGTGCAAGGCCGTGAAGGGCATCAACACGGGCCTGCCCATCGTCTACGACTCCAGCTGCCCCGGCCTGTGCTGCTTCGAGGACCAGCCGTGCAGGTACAACAACACGGGCTGCTACTCCGCAGCCTTGGCGCAGCAGAAGGTGAAGTCGACGCCCACGAACGACGCCGAGTGCAAGGCCGTGTCTGGCATCAACACGGGCCTGCCCATCGTCTACGACTCCAGCTGCCCCGGCCTGTGCTGCTTCGAGGACCAGCCGTGCAGGTACAACAACACGGGCTGCTACTCCGCAGCCTTGGCGCAGCAGAAGGTAAGGACGACGCCCACGAACGACGCCGAGTGCAAGGCCGTGCCTGGCATCAACACGGGCCTGCCCATCGTCTACGACTCCAGCTGCCCCGGCCTGTGCTGCTTCGAGGACCAGCCGTGCAGGTACAACAACACGGGCTGCTACTCCCGCAGCCTTGGCGCAGCAGAAGGTGAACGACGCCCACGAACGACGCCGAGTGCAAGGCCGTGTCTGGCATCAACACGGGCCTGCCCATCGTCTACGACTCCAGCTGCACGCGCCGGTGGTGCTCGAGGACCAGCCGTGCAGGTACAACAACACGGGCTGCTACTTGGCGGCCTTGGCGCAGCAGAAGGTGAGGACGACGCCCACGAACGACGCCGAGTGCAAGGCCGTGCAGGGCATCGGCAAGGGCCTGCCCATCGTCTATGACTCCAGCTGCACTGGCCTGTGCTGCTTCGAGGACCAACAGTACAGGTACGACAACACGGGCTGCTACTCCGCGGCCTTGGCGCAGCAGAAGGTGAGGACGACGCCAACGAGGACGCCGAGGGCAAGGCAGTGCCAGGCATCAGCAAGGGCCTGCCCATCGTCCACGACTCCAGCTGCCCTGGCCTGTGCTGCTTCGAGGACCAGCCGTGCAGGTGCAACGGCACGGGTTGCTACTCCGTGGCCTTGGCGCAGCAGAAGGTGAGGACGACGCCTACGAACGACGCCGAGTGCAAGGCAGTGCCAGGCATCAGCAAGGGCCTGCCCATCGCCTACGACTCCAGCTGCCCCGGCCTGTGCTGCTTCGAGGACCAGCCGTGCAGGTACAACAACAGGGGTTGCTACTCCGCGGCCTTGGCGCAGCAGGAGGTGAGGAGGACGCCCACGAACGACGCCGAGTGCAAGGCAGTGCCAGGCATCGACAAGGGCCTGCCCATCGCCTACGACTCCAGCGGCCCTGGCTTGTGCTGCTTCGAGGACCAGCCGTGCAGGTACAACAACACGGGCTGCTACTCCGCGGCCTTGGCGCAGCAGAAGGTGAGGGCGACGCCCACGAACGAAGCCCAGTGCAAGGCAGTGCCAGGCATCAGCAAGGGCCTGCCCATCGTCTACGACTTCAGCTCCCCTGGCCTGTGCTGCTTCGAGGACCAGCCGTGCAGGTACAACAACGCGGGCTGCTACTCCGCGGCCTTGGCGCAGCAGAAGGTGAGGACGACGCCTACGAACGACGCCGAGTGCAAGGCAGTGCCAGGCATCAGCAAGGGCCTGCCCATCGTCTACGACTCCAGCTGCCCTGGCCTGTGCTGCTTCGAGGACCAGCCGTGCAGGTGCAACGGCACGTGCTGCTACTCCGCGGCCTTGGCACAGCAGAAGGTGAGGACAACGCTCACGAACGACGCCGAGTGCAAGGCAGAGCCAGGCATCAACAAGGGCCTACCCATCGTCTACGACTCCAGCTGCCCTGGCCTGTGCTGCTTCGAGGACCAGCCGTGCAGGTGCAACAACACGGGCTGCTACTCCGCGGCCGTGGCGCAGCAGAAGGTGAGGACGACGCCCACGAACGACGCCGAGTGCAAGGCAGTGCCTGGCATCACTGGGGCCTGCCCATCGCCTACGACTCCAGCTGCCCTGGCCTGTGCTGCTTCGAGGACCAGCCGTGCAGGTGCAAGTCAAACACGGGCTGCTACTCCGCAGCCTTGGCGCGAGAGAAGGTGAGGACGCCCACGACGACGCCGAGTGCAGGTGGTGGGCGGTTCAACAAGGGGACCTGCCCATCGTCTAAACGCCTCAGCTGCCCCGGCCTGTGCTGCTTCGGAGGACAGCCGTGCAGGTACAACAACACGGGCTGCTACTCCGCAGCCTTGGCGCAGCAGAAGGTGAGGACGACGCCCACGAACGACGCCGAGTGCAAGGCCGTGAAGGGCATCAACACGGGCCTGCCCATCGTCTACGACTCCAGCTGCCCCGGCCTGTGCTGCTTCGAGGGCCAGCCGTGCAGGTACAACAACACGGGCTGCTACTCCGCAGCCTTGGCGCAGCAGAAGGTGAGGACGACGCCCACGAACGACGCCGAGTGCAAGGCCGTGCCGGGCATCAACACGGGCCTGCCCATCGTCTACGACTCCAGCTGCCCTGGCTTGTGCTGCTTCGAGGACCAGCCGTGCAGGTACAACAACACGGGCTGCTACTCCGCAGCCTTGGCGCAGCAGAAGGTGAGGACGACGCCCACGAACGACGCCGAGTGCAAGAACGGGAGGTATCAACAGGACCTGCCCATCGTCTACGACTCAGCTGCCCCCGGCCTGTGCTGCTTTCGAGGTACCAGCGTTGCAGGTACAAAACACGGGCTGCTTACTCCGCAGCTTGGCGAAGCAGAAGGTAGAAGGACGCCCACGACGACGCCGAAGTTGCTAAAGAAACGTGGAGTTGGGTACTCAACAAGGACCTGCCCATCGGCTACGACTCCAGCTGCCCGCTGCGCCGAGCCTGTGCTGGTCTAGGACAGCGTGCAGGTACAACAACACGGGCTGCTACTCCGCAGCCTTGGCGCAGCAGAAGGTGAGGACGACGCCCATGAACGACGCCGAGTGCAAGGCTGTCAAGGGCATCAACACGGGCCTGCCCATCGTCTACGACTCCAGCTGCCCCGGCCTGTGCTGCTTCGAGGACCAGCCGTGCAGGTACAACAACACGGGCTGCTACTGAGGGGAGAGCTGCTGTGTATTATGGGTGACCAGGATGTGCTGCCGCACTAGAAACGAATGGTGAGTGAGTGAGTGAGTGAGTGAGTGCATTGTGCGTCGTGCCAGCTCAGGCATTGTCGAGGTTGTGTTCAGCGATTTCAGTCTTGTGTAAGCATGCTGGCTGTGCCCAATGTCCACGGCGCAGCAGTATGTGTACTTCATGCTTCTCCTGCGTTTCGACTCCTGGACCTGAACGTCTGGGTGCACTTGGGCGGAGCGGCCGCTTCGTGCTGTGGCCGTCTTTGCCCACGTGCGGTCTTGTCACGGGAGAGACTGGTCAGAGCGAGGCCTCTGCAGATTGATAAAAAAAGAGATTTCTCGGGAGGAGGCATCCGTCCCAGGGAATGGGTCTGCAGACTCCGGGGGGCCGGCGCAGTCATGACGTCGGGGGCTTTTGCGACAGGGGCGGGCATTGCATGTCTTCCGTGACATCGGGGCCTTGCAATTTTGTTCGCGTTAGGCATTCTCGCCAGGTCTCGGATGGGGTCCAGGGCGAAGGACGGAGTCCAGGGTTCCAGTCGAGGTGTTCTAAGATGGTGCAACGTTGTCGTGACGGCGGACCTCAGGGTCGTCGAAGGCACGGGCGGCTGGAGCCGCTGTGCCCCCCCCCCCCCCCGTGGGCTATCCGCACCTCGGAGAGCCAGCCACGCTCAGAGGGGGGACGGGGGGAGGGTCTGGGAGGGGGAAAAGAAAAAGCTTCTTAGAGGCACCCCTGCTTCTCAGGAGGCGCGGGCCTTATCTGTACTTGTGTAAGGCCGGCGCCTTCTGAGAAGCAGCCTCCTTCTAGGAAGCCTTCCCCCCTCCCCCACCCCCTTGTGCGCACCGCCAAGAGCTGCTGCCCTGGGCGAGAGACGGAGCCTGGGAGGAGGGACGGTTCTGGGCAAGGCTGCGACGGTTCGAGGTTCTCGGGCGGCTCGGGGGGATGAGCTTTTGGTTTCGGGGGGGGGGATGAAGTTTCAGTTCGGAATCGAGACCCGAGGTTTTCAAACTTTCTCGTCCATTCTCGGCGGCCTCCCAGCCTCGGAACGCCGTCCCGCGTCTGCGCCTCGTCGACAGGGCTCCGGGGGTGCCCCGATCGTCCCGAGCGGCTGCCGGAGACCCGACTCATGGACCGAACGCCAGGGGGCAGCGTGAGGAGGGACGGCTCTTGCAGCATCATCAGTATGATCGTGCGAGGAGGAGGAGGAGGCGAGGATGTTGGGATGGGGATGCGGTGGGCTTGATGATGAGGATGACGATGATAATAGTGGTGGTTGCGCTGATGAACATGACTATGACTATAGTGATGCTGACGGCGCTGCATACGGTGGTGACGAGAACGAGGAGGAGCAGTATGATGATTATGGTGAC